ATATTCATGATTTATTACCACACTTTTTTTGTTTGTTAAGGGCTGCTATTGTTTTATTAACTCTCACTAACTAAATATACCCGTACCTACTATACTATATCTTACATTATAATCACTTTATCGAGTAATAACTAGTCAAAATATAGCCAATTTTTTTTTGTTTTTTTTATTTTTTTATTTATTTTTTTTTTGTTTTTGTTTTTTTTATTTTTTAGACAAGAGCTTACACAGAATAGGAAAAAACAGAACAAACTGAGAAACATAATCAAAAGAGGAAAAACTACAGTTCGCTGTTGTAGCAAGAATGTGAGCTCTCTCCACTACTGCCCGATCCACCTTTAGAATGCTACACCACTCAAAACTGCTGCTCAAGCGACGAATACTAGCAAGTGTCTAATGAATAGAAATTTTCGAATCTTGCACATTCGAAGGCACCGGACGACCGTAGTAGAGTCTGTATAAATTGAAACCGCACAAATCGACCTTGTGTCGCCCATTGTAACCCCGCCAGACATGCTGAGCATTCAATTCCGCATGCAGAGCTGATTGAGCAAGCCCAAAAGAAGCCCCTCCAAGCCACCCCTGTTCCCCGTACTCCCCAAATTTTGGACACCAACCCATATTTGATCTGTTAGTTTGCTTATTCCACGAGTCATCACACAAAATAACCGTCGGCATTAGTAAATTTCCAGATTCTGATTCGTGAAAAACAACTCGTAAAACCCCCGGAGGGTAATCACTAACCAGTTCAGGCGGGTGTAGAGCGCGAAGGCCCCTTGCTTTCTTAGCAACAAAAAGTTGTTGTTGGCGAAGACCTTCTGAAATGATTGCCGGAGTCGACAAAGGAACAGCACCCACCGGGTTGAAAACCCTCTGATTACGCAATATCCACAACCCCCAGAGAGTTGCGATAAAAAAAGGTCGTTCTGTGACCATCATAACCATCCTGGCTTAGAAACAGCCGTATATAGTACAGAATCCAATCGCCGAAGGATTGGTCCACGTTAGCTTGTGAGTGGATATGTAAACCACCCCTCGTTGCATCCCGTGCAACACTGCAAAATCTGAATAAGTGCTGTAAATCTTCTACTTGTGTCCCGCAGAGGTCACAGTGTATACTTATAGCCAGACCCCGTCTCCCCAAATTAGTCTTTGTAGCTATTCCATTCTGCAGGAGTTTCCACATAAACAGTTTCCATGCCCAAGATACCTTTGAACAAAGTTTGTAAGGAGCGCGTAGCATTAGGGATCACTTTAAAGTGTGACTTGGCCAGGTTAATTTGTTATCCTGAGATGTTGCTGAATTTGTGAATAACGGCTGCAATGGCCTGGGTACTACGAACACTAGCTTTGTAGAATAAAAGGGTGTCGTCTGCAAAGAAAAGATGAGAAATAGAAGGACCTTTGAGTCCCAACTTTATTCCGTCGAAAAGGTGCATGTCACAACCTTGCTGTAACATCCTCGAAAGAACATCCATACAAAAAAGGAAGAGGTAAGGGGATAATATATCTCCCTGACGTAACCCACAATTAGGTCTAAACTAGTCACTCATCTCCCCATCTAGTAAAACTTTGTACGATACCATTAAGATGCATTGGCCTATCATTTGTAACCAAGTAGGAGGAAATTCGTAACGTTGCAGTACTCGGTTTAGAAACACCCAATTAACACTGTCATACGCCTTACTCATGTCGATCTTTTACGCTGCCAAGTAGTCATACCCTATAGTCTTCGATCTTATTGATTTTGTCCAACAATTATATTCGTGGATTAGAAGTCAATTATTTTGGGATTGAGGAAATACTGATCATGAAGGTGGGGGTTGACAAAGTTTATTTCTTGAATTAAATATATATATATATATACCAATTCTGTTTGATTATGAATAACAACATTAAGAGTTATAATTCTTAATTTCGTTAGTCAACCTCTTGTAGATGTTTTTTTTTTCTTTTTTTTTAATTTTAATTTTAAAATTTTTTTTTAGAGGAACCTCTTGTAGATGTTAAAAATCAAGAACTCCAACTATAATTCTAAATTTCGTTAGTCATAATCAACGAGAATTGGTATGTTATTAAATTACATTATATTGATTTTCTTCAAGTTCAAATATTATTTAATTAGCTTTAATAATTCAATGATAATTACAAGAAGATGTTGCTAAATTACACATGAATGACGAAAACAATGATTAGGGGAATCTACTAAACCATGTCAAACTGGCTGCATGCATGCCCACTAGGCCACTACTGCTCTTATTAATGCAAAGTCTTCTCATCCTCCTTTCTTTCGAATTATGTGTGCAAATTAGTCTTCTCATTTACCTAATTAATTTCCTCCCTTTAATTTTATTTCTTTCTTAAAATTATCATAATTTCAAGATCTTTTTACCAACCACAGGTATGTATTTTTAATTATTATCCTGTTTTTGTTATACAAAAATTATGTTGTTTTTTTTTTTTTGGCATTGGCAATATATAAATATATGAATTATGATAAAAATACTAAGGTTGGTTTGAAATATTTACATGTTAATTATATTTCAAAGATTATTACTCGTAGTTACTTGTTGTCCGGTTCTTGTATTTTTGTATTATTACAAAGCAATATACTAAGTGTTAGCGCACCAATATGCGTTTACATTTGATTGGTTTTTTTTTAACAAAAGAGAAATGATGTAAAGACATGCATATACTTGATTAAATATTTTGTGGCTCTTTTCCTAAAAATAAAAATAAAAAATAAAAAATAAAATAAAATAAAGTAAAATAAAAAAAAAAACATTTTGTGGTTCTTACTCAAATAGCTAAAAAGTGTTCGAACTACCCAACAAATCTAATTACATAATACTAAAAACGAAATTAGGAGGACACTTGGCAAAAAACTATTAAAAATTTTCCCTCCAAAAAAAACTTTCTTTAAAACAAAATCATTGTTATACAAAAATAAAGTTTGTATCTAAATTATAACTTTTCCTTTATACAAAACTTCTAAATTATCAACTTGCACATTATAACTATTACATACAAGTATTTAAATATTTTATTATCTCATACTGTATGTTTTTATTGTTTTAATATATTTCATGAATTCAAATACTTGGTGAATCAGTTCATTATGTTTATATTCTTTTAAATAATTATATTGTCATTATAATTACGAGTATTTAACATCCGTGCATTACACGGGGTTTAACGTAGTGATATATAAATGAAAGATAGTTCATTAAATAAAAAATAAAGTATGAAAGGTAACTATTTCAATAAATTAATGAAATGTTATGTGGCAATAAATTTAAAAATAACAATTAAAAACCAATTTATCCTAAGTTTTAGGTAATATTTTCTGTCCAACCCCAAAAGGAAAAGTTAATAGGTAAGCACTTTTATGTGTTATAATACATTAATACTATATGTAGTAATGTTTTTAACACATCATTTATTCATTTTAAATGTGCTTAACATATTTATTCCATTTTTAAAAACATTATCCTACTACATTAGCCCTCTTATCACTCCATAATATTTACACCATTTCCCTCAATTTCTCTATCTATCGCCACCACTCTTTCTCGTAATTCATCCTCTTTTTTTTTTTTTTTTTTTTTACATCTACCACTATCTTGCACTTTTGAAAACCATGTTGTTTAGATTTAAAAAAATAAAATAAAATAAAATAAAATAAATAAATAAAACAACTACCAGATGGATTGTTTTTTATTTTTTTTATTTTTTATTTACTTTTTTTTTGAAAAAGTCTACCAGTGATGAATTGCTCTCTTCCTTAATACTTGTGCACGAATATTTTTGAAACAAAGGTAGTATAATTTATTACAGTATTTTATTGTTACACCATTTCTCACAAGATCAAATTAGACATTGCCGATTTTGATATTCTTTTAGATAATTTTTCATTTTTTTGTTTTTTTTTTATATGGGCAATAGGCATTAGTCGTTGATTCCTTTGAATTATTTTACATATTGTTTATATTAGCTATTTATATACGAAATATATGTTATGTTGGCTATTTTATGAGAGATAACTTTTATGAATTTTTATAAACATAAAGTCTTAAGTGTGGCTGACTGGATGATATAAGAATTTATGTATTCAAAGAGTATCTCGGTCTGGATTAGGTTTCTATCGATATAAGAAAATGACAACTAGAATTTTTAAAAATGAACAGTTAAGATTCAAGGAAATTTTAACTATTTTTAAATGTTAATATTAATTAAAATGTAATTTTATTATTTTTTGATAAAACATTTAATTTATTTTACTTACTTTAAATTTTACTAATAATTAAAAAAGTTTCATAAAATAATTTGAATTTTTTTAAAAATTAAATTAATTAATTTCAAATTTAATATGAATTCTAAAAAACATAATAAATTAATTAATTTTCAAATTATAATTAATATGAGGATTAAAAAAAATTCATAAATCATTGTATCACCCATCCAATTCTTAAAATTGTGGTCAAATGACTACTATAGAAAAAGGCGGCTGGCCACACTTTGTGGCAGACCATCATGGGGTTTACATTGTTAGTGTTAGTTATAGGGGTTACTTGATCAATGTTACAGGGATCACTTCATTAATGTTACAGAGGTTATTACTCGATTAGTATTACAGGGGTTACTCGGTTGGTATTGTAGGGTTTTGTTCTTTTACAAGCGTTCACATGGTGTGGTGTGACTAGTCACACACAAGACGAGCTGATATACATATAAACACAACTAAGGTTTTTACATAAGGCAAAATTGAAAGACCTTTATTACAAACATGGCTATGCTAGCTATGCTGTGTGTATCGTGCGCGTTTATTCTCCTACATGTCATTTTTCTTTTTTTTTTTCATATTCATGAACACATAACATATTCAAAAAATAAATTTTTTTGTAAATTGTATTAAAAGCCAAAACGTGTCAATATATATAAATTATCCTTTACTACTATGGTTGAGTAATTTATTTGATCTTTTTACGCGATTTTCACAGATTGCATTGATGGAAAATAACCAATATAATGGCAATAGCAGCAGCATAAGCAGTAACAACATCAACAACAATGGCACAAACCTTCATGTCTCAAACGTCGATGTGTTTTCGAGTATAAGCGTGGGCGAGGCTGCTCATAGTGGAAGATCCATGGAAAACATATTAGAAGACTTGCTACAAGACACTCAAGCTTGTCCCGAAACCAATACTTGTAGCTTGAGCGAAGATTGTAGTCATACACACGACTTCTTTCATAAGCAAAGTGATGAAATGTTTCCTTCTAATGAAGAGAAAAGTAGTTACGACGATTCTCTTCAAATTGAGGAGCAACAAAGTAAGAAGAGAGGAAGGAGACAACGAGCGGATAACAAAGAAGCTGTACGTAAGTACCGCGAAAAGTTAAGGATAAGAGAAGCCTCACTCGAAGAAGAAATTAAGATGTTAAAGGAGTCGAATCAACAATTGTTAAAGAAGCTAGAAGGCGAGGCAGCATTGCAAGAAGAGATTTTGTGGCTTAAGTGTTTGCTTGTTGATATACGAGGGAGAATAGAAGGGGAAACTAATTCGATTCGATTTCGTAGACAACCCGATGTGAGTTTGATTGGTAATGATCGTATGGTTCATTGCAATGGGAATAGTGGAAATGGAGGCAAAACTAAAAAGTCAAATTCAATGTTATATGGTGAAGGTACTAATGGTGGTATTTCTATAAACTTTAACTATACTCCGAGTATTGGATCTGAACCAAAAGATACTCTCAACTTTGGACATCAAAGTTGATAGCCTTTAGGAGTTCAATTGGTAATGACAAGAACAAAAAATCAAGGTTTTACTCATTATTCCATTTTTCTAAATTTTTACTCTTTTATCTATGAAAATTGTAATGTTGTATTCAAAATACTGACTTAACAATAAGCTTCATCCAAAAGTTAGAACCGTAAGATTGGTTTTGTACTCGGATGCAATACACCTCGTATGACTATATGAGGGCTCGTTGGACTGGAATATGGATGTAGAATAAGCCTCCTCATATCGACCTTCTTGATAGTATGTCAAAGTAGCATATTTTAAGGAGTAAAAGTAATATGATATTTATTGTAAACTCTTTTTTATATTTATTTTTTTATAAAAAAAAAAAAAAAAAAAAAAAAACCTTAGAAGCATTTGGGATGGATAAGAAAAAAAAATTGTAGGGAAAAAAATAGAGTATGCTTTACTATAGGTACTAGATAATTTCTGCGCCATACTTGGATTTTAAAATTAATACATATAATATATAAAACTTTAGTAATCTAATTACTATAAATTGGTGTTTGATTGCTATTTGTTAATAAATTCAACTTAGGAAATATTATGTACTTCATATAATACACAGTGGCGGACTGGGCCTTGTGCCTGGTGGGTCAAATGACTCACCAGGGCCCAAAAAAAATTTTAAGTTTTTTTTTTAAAAAAAAAATAAAAATAAAATTTCTAACTTCTGAGTTAGCCCTAGCCCACTTCGCCAGTTCGCCTCTTCCTCAGTTCCTCTTCGCTTCATCTTCCTCTTCGCATAATCGCATCTTCCTCAGTTCCTCTTCGCTTCATCTTCCTCTTCGCTGGGTTGCTGAATAGCACTTGCTGTGATTCTTTTGTAAGTTTCTAGGTTTTTATTTAATTTTCTCCTTGTGTATATATGATTGGGTGAGTAATTATAGATTTATCTATTCAGCTATTCTTTGGGCTAATTGGTTCTCAATTTTCTTAATGGGGGAAATTGAGGGGTAGTCGAACACTATCTTTTATGATGTAATTATTTTCCAAGCTTTAACATTTGTTTTTCTAATTAATGATCACACGGATCTAATTTGACATATGGCAGATTCTTAATCTTATCTTTGCAGTCTAATAGTTGATGATGATTGGTATAATGGCTTTTTATAATGTTAATTGATACTAAATTTCTAGTTTATTGCGGTTTATAAGAAAATCTATACTTTTTTTTTTTCAACATTCTAGGCTCTGACCATTATCATGTCGCTGGAATTACTTTTGCTAATGTAGACAACTGATAAACACAAATTCCATTCATGTTTGTTATTTTTACATTACTATATCTTGAGATATACACCCGGGTGTTTAATCGGATTTTCTACGGGTAAATCCTAGTTATTTATTGGAGGAAAACAATCTCTATCCATGGTATTAGAAGTTCCTAGTTTGTTTGATTAGCCGCTTTTGTGTGTAGGGATATGGGGATAGAGAGAGAGCAGAGTAGCACATCCAAAGCCGAAAGAGAGGAAAAAAGAATTGTGATGCTGGCATGGAGCGATGAACGCTTGCCTTCGGAAAGACTACAAGGTGGTACTCAATTATATCACACTCGTGCAGAATTTCACTCGGTGGATCTGAAGCACAATATATTAACTCGTTCTTGCTTTCCTTCAATTATCATGACTAAGTTCTTTTCATCTGCCATGGTGTCATCTTTGAATAAATTTATCTACTTAGTGGGAGTGGGAGGAGCGCGATTATCTGTCGTCCAATCATCTAATGAGTCTTCCTCTTCCAACCACACATTCTACTCCGGCGGTTCATGTCTTGACATGTCTGATGAGGCTCCAGTGTGGTGTCCAGCTCCTGTCTTCTTTGAGGATAACACTTCTCCCAACTATGTTAGCTTTCTTGGCAATATTTACAACTTTGGATCTGTTTGCCTTGCGCCCCAGGTTCTTGAATGTGGTGCCCTTGGCCACTATAAGTCAATTCGCTCTCTCCCTATCCCTCAAAGCCTTGCTGGTTGTAGTGTGTCTGTTCCTGTACTTCCCGACCCTTCCAACAAACGCATTCTTATGCGCCTCTATGGTGGTCCCCTTTCGTCGCCTTCCCTCTATGCTTTCACTCCCGATCCTTGTGCTGATGCTATTGGGACATGGGAATGTCTCACCTCTGATTTCCATCTTTGGGCTCATGCTGCTGCTGTTGTTAATGGGGTCATATATTTTCACTGCCATAAAGTTCCATCTCTTCTTTGTGCTTTGCTGGTTGGACACCAATATATTCCCATATGAATGCCGAAACTTTTAATTTCGATGCAATGCTTCATTTGGGCCACAATATTTTGTGCTTTGCTGGTTGGACACCAATATATTCCCGGACTGCTGTTTTTACCATCGAAGTCATATTTTACAAGTTCCAAGTGTTGGTCACCGGTGAAACTGTAACCGTCAAGGTCTGTGACTCCTACTCATATGAACTTCCGGGAAGTACCAATGTGTTTCATTTCCTCCCCATTTAGCAGGTACTCTTCTCCATCTAACCATCTCTTATTCTTGCTATTATTCTGTTTATAATTAGAATACAGTTTGGACTAGTTAGTGCTTTGACTATTAAATTGAACTTATTAGTTTATCTGTTTATGTCATTATGTGAAATTGTGAATATGTGATGCCGGACATTGTATAAGACAACAATTAAACTATTAGTGTAAGGAGGATTATAAATTTATAATTAGAATACAGTTTGGACTAGTTAGTGCTTAGTGGTGCTAGTCGCATATTCGGCTGGAAGTTCCGTATAGACTAGTGGAGATATTAGTTTGTTGATTTTAGTCTTGTCAATTTTAAGCTTTTTAATTATTAGTTAGTATTGTAATCTTGTCAATTTTCTATTTGGATGATCTTTGTAAATAATTTTTCTGGGGAATATTGCTTGATTTAGTTGAATATTGCTTGATTTAGTTGAATATGAACCGTCCAACCAATTATGAATAGGGGTAATTCGCTGTTGGGGTTATTTGCATATGATTCATACTTGTGATTTCATTTGTTTTGTTAACTTTGTGTTTGATTAGGTTGTTGAATTTATATGCAGGGAAGACTCAGCTTATCAATCATTTTCTAATCAACAAGAGTTGGTATATTGTTAATTTGCCTGGATATGGGTGAGTCTCTGTAATTTTGGTTTTAATTTGGGCAATTTCTGTAATTCTTGAGTCTATTTCATGCTGGGAATATTGTATACTTGTATTGTGAATCAATTGTTATTCGTGTTTATTCCTGATCATATGCTTGAATCATATTGAAGTGCCAAAAAAGGATTGCTTTTACGCCTTGAGGCATTGCTTCAAAATTATTGATCATCCTGTAAAACATGTTGCGGACTGATATGTATTTAGGCTACATCCGCTGTAGTTAATTTGGTCTCCAATCGTGTTGTTTATTTTCAAGTTTATGAAGTAAATGTCTCCTTACATGTCATTGTGAAATTTTTTTTTACATATTTGATTATCGATTGTGACTCACCAGTCGGAAATTCCTGGGTCCGCCACTGATAATACAATACCTTTTTCTAAAAAAACTAATAAGGAGAAATAGTATGTACCTAACTACGCGAGTAGTATAGATTTTACTTTTTATATGGATTTATAGTAAATTAAGAGTGCATATTATTTATTCGGAATAGTTGTACGTTTATATGGGGTGATTTTTTTTCTTTTTTTTTGAGGAATTTACATGGAGTGATTTTAATTAATTTGTTTGTACAATATGTTTAGATTAATTTATTGTAAATTGTGTAGATAAAGGAAATCAGTTACAAATTTTTTAAGAGTAAAAGTAGAATAATGAATATTATAAACAAATTTTCAAATAATTAAAAAAATGAAGCATTTGGGAGGATAAGAAATGATTTTGGTGGAAAAAAAATTTCTGCTTTAGTATAGCTATATAGATATATTGTATATATAGATACTATGTGGAATTCGAGCGCAAGATACGTAGCTTTTAAGGCTAAGAATACGTCTTTAATATCTTTCTCAATTTGATGTTAGTATTGGATTCCATGCATGATATTAAAATCGAGATTCTACTTTATATTGCTAAGGGCTTCTAAAATCGAATCGTAGAATACGATTCTACAGACATGCATAATAAAGGCGTCACATTCAATTTTAATTGAATGTACTTAAATTATAAGTTAAAAGCCTAATTATTGATAGAATATAGTGTTTAACTACTAGTAGCCAATTATTGACAATTATTTTAATAAATAACTTTGTAGACATGTTTTAAACTTGTAAGGTTTTCGCTATCTAAGAGAAATATGTAAAAATCGGGTGGAATCATAAATCAAATTGTATGGAAATACATGAATCGTAAAATTGTAAGATCTAAGGTTTAAATTGGGATTTTAATAACTTGGATTGCATGAAAAAATCACGTGCAAATTAGTATAATTGATGTAAATTTTAATTAATTTAATTTTTTTTTTTCAATTTTTAGCTCTCTATATGTTAGTCATAAAGGCTATGTATAGCATTTTCTGTAGGGTTTCGTAGTGACTCACACTACGCGGAATGAAACCCGCCAAGACCCGCCCAATTAATAAATGCAATTAACAAGCAAAACATAATCTAAAGCTTTAAGAAAGGATAAAAGATTATACCTTTGACGCGTGCTTCGCTCAACTATGAGCTCTTACTTGAACCCCGATAGAGCGAGGTCTCCGACGGGATCGTACCCTCGAACCCGACCCAATCGTCCTAAGCCTCGAAGGTTAGTCAAGGCCCGGACAAAATAAACTAGAGTTTTACGAATTTTAAGGTAAGCTCATTAATGGAGTTTCCTTTACTTTTCAACTCAAGTGTGTTCTTTCCCAAATACCCATGCCTTGGTATTTATAGGGAGATGAACCCTTGATTTTCATTCCCCAACCAATATGGGAGAATGAGTAATTTTGATAATTAATTTAATTCTAAAATAAATTAATAATTAAATCAATCACAACGCAACAAGTGTCAAGGGGAGAGAGAGAGTCAAGTGAGGACCAAGAGAATGTGGGAGGGACCATTGCCTTGCTCCCCAAGGCTTTGCCCAAGCCTTGGTCCCCACCCCTCACAAAACCGGCACAAGGGGCTGCTGGGCTGGCAGCCAGCTAGCACGCCAGCTAGCAGTGCCAGCAAGCCCAGCCAGCTAGCACTAGCCTAGCCAGCACAAGCATGATGCGTGTGGCCGTGCTGGGCAGTGCCTACGCTGCTGCTGCTGCTGCTTGCTAGGCGCTGGGCGATGCTAGCAAGCTGCTGGCCCCTGCCTCCCTAGCCATCGCACACGCACACGCAAGACCCTCGCACTCCCAGCATGCGTGCTGCTAGCGAGCCACGCATGCTGTGCATCGCCTCGCCAGCCACACGCACAAGCATGCGATGCTTGGTGCTGTGCCAGCGATGGTGCGATGGCATGCATGCACACGCACTGAGCGAGGCTAGTGCTGCTGCTGCAATGGTACGAGACACACACGCACACACACATACGCAAGCGCCCAGCACTGCGATGGTTGTGCTTGGTGCATGTGGCCTGCGATGGCGCCTAGGCACCCAAGCACACACGTTGCGGTGCTGTTGTGCCATGCGAAGGCACGCACACACGCACATGGTGCTGTGATGCTAGGCATGCACGCATGCTAGCGATGGTGCGCCTAGCACACCTAGTGTGTCTAGGATTGCGTCTATCCATGCTAGGTGCATGCTAGCTCGAGTTTGCCTAGCGTTCACATGGCTAGGCCACTGTGATACTACGGCTATGCTCGAACTTGTTGCTTGTGATTTTGCGACGCTTGGCCTCGACGCCCTAAGCTCGATGTCCGACGTCTGTGTTCGTAAAACTCCGACGACTCATTAAATCCTTTGGATTTATTCGTTGTATCGGATCGGTTGTTCGGTTGGGTTCGACCCGAAGGGTTCAGTTAAGATTAAGCTGTAATATTAATTATACCTTAATATTACTGATCGGAAGCGGCCTCCACCTAGGCATTTCGATCACTTGACCTTACTGAAGAATTAGCTCTGTAATAATTCTGAACCCTCTATCAGAATAATACACTTGATGGAAGGACACCATTCCTTTTAATCTCCCACTTGTCCTTCCAGACAAGTGTGCATACAATGTATAGCCATTTCCTATGTCGCTTAATGTCTCTTCATGAATTATAAGGTAAGATTCATCGTCATCCTTATTACATTCAGAAGTGTTTCTCGATCTCCGAGTTCGACTGTCAATAAGTAGATGATTTCCAAAATCCATCTGAGCACAGCCATGCATTTTCACAGTCTCGCTCTTCTAGCGGCCTTGTAAACAACAAAGACATGTTCCCTATTGTTGATAGGGGGACATTCCCAGTCTTGCATTGTAAGTTTCTCTTACTAAGAGGACCTAATCTCCTGAGTGTTCCCGTTATGATCCCCAGTTACGGCAGAAGTTAGGCAACATCAAAGAGACTAGTACTCAAACAAGAAAACTTCACAATACTCATGGTCGAGGAAACGAGTTCCGATAGCTATAATGAGAAATGTACTTATGACAATTTTGAATCTCTTAAAGTACTCTCATAGGTCGATCCAGTGCAGTTCCAAACTAGCACCTGTGCAAATGATTTATGACCATCATGTCCTTGCAGCACAAGAAACGATGCTGTAAATCATACTACACACTAATCTCTGGTGGTCATCAATCGTCCATCAGTTAGATGACCTTGACTAGGGACAATTTTCGATTTAAATATTCAATGTTCACTTAACAGGTGTTTCTTTATCCAAGACATGGTCTTGATACCCTGTTTTGAATATTTCCATAAATCGAATGGACTCATTATTTAATTCTAAACCAAAATTAAATAGCAATGGAGTGAATGATAATTTTGCACAAAAATTAATTACTCCATTAATGAATGGTTTCAATACAGTGTCTTACATTAAAACATCTAGTTTAATTAAAACACATGTACAGGGAATTTCAAAGCCAGTCTCCAATGTGCTTGATTCCCATTGCCTCAACGTGCTTGTTGTGCTTCACTTGAGGCAAAGGTTTAGTCAAAGGATCGGCCACATTATCATCCATGCCGATCTTGCAAATTCTGATTTCACCTTCGGATTTCCATTCCCTTATCATGTGAAATCGCCTTTGCACATGTTTGACCTTCTGGTGCTCTCTTGGCTCTCTAGCCTGAGCGATAGCTCCATTATTGTCACAGTAGAGATCTATCGGACCTTTGATGGAGGGTACAACACCAAGTTCACTAATGAACTTGCAAATCCAAACAGCCTCCTTAGCGGCTTCTGAAGCAGCCAAGTATTCGGCTTCAGTTGTAGAATCTGCAGTGGTGCTCTGCTTGGCACTCTTCCAGCTAAACACTCCTCCATTCAGACAGAATATGTATCATGACTGTGACTTGAAGTTATCTCTGTTAGTCTGGAAGCTAGCGTCGGTGTAACCTTTAACAACCAGGTCTTTATGGCCACCATAAACCAGGAATTTATCCTTGTTCCTTTTCAGGTACTTCAGGATATTCTTGGCCGCAGTCCAATGCGCCTCTCCTGGGTTTGATTGGTATCGACTCGTAGCACTCAAGGCATACGATACATATGGCTTGGTACATATCATGGCATACATGATCGACCCAATTAGCGAAGCATATGGAATCTGATCCATTCTCTCTCGCTCAACAGGTGTCTGTGGACACTGTTTCTTGCTGAGAGTTACGCCATGGGACATGGGTTGATGCCCTCTTTTGGCATTCTCCATGTGGAATCGTGCCAGTACCTTATCAATGTAAGTACTCTAGCTCAATCCAATCATCCTCTTAGATCTATCCTTGTAGATCTTGATGCCCAATATGTACTGTGCCTCTCCTAAGTCCTTCATTGAAAAACACTTTCCCAACCAGCCCTTTACGGACTCTAGTAATTTTGCGTTGTTTCCAATAAGCAGTATGTCATCGACATATAGGACTAGGAATGCGATGTCACTCCCACTGACCTTCTTGTATACACAAGATTCATCTGGATTATTATGAAACCAAACTTGCTTATAGCTTCATCAAATCGCAGATTCCAACTCTTGCTGGCTTGCTTTAGTCCATAAATGGACTTCTTAAGCTTGCAAACCTTTCAAGCGTTGCTCGGATCAACAAAACCTTCTGGCTATGTCATGTACACAATTTCTTCCAAAATCCCATTTAGGAAGGCGGTTTTGACATCCATCTGCCATATTTCATAATCGTAATATGAAGCAATCGCTAGAATAATCCGGACAGACTTTAGCATTGCAACCGGTAAAAAGGTTTCATCATAGTCAATCCCGTGGA